GCATAATTCTAATAAAATACACAGCCATATATGCGAACGCGCACGCTCACTAGTAGGGACGTATGCACACATACGTTGAAACTAATTATCTTTCACATAGAACCTGTACATAGTGAGTTTCCAAAAGCAATAATTGTGCATTGTTCTATTGATTAAAGCCCCTGCATTTTGCCGCTAAACCGGCACAGGCCTTTGCGCATCGTAGCACATACTATTGCTTACTTCCTAAGAATCTTTGTTTGACGGCGTTCCTGGGAAATTCGGCCAACGTAACACTTTTGCATTTGATGAAAGTAAATTTTCACTTTGTTATCCTTTGACAAATGCGCGAACTAGTAAACTAATGGGATTTTCTTCCTGTTGGTAATTTGATTGGGTCGGTTATCAGTGCGGTGACCACTGTCAAGTGGTGACCCTTCCGTAAAAGTGCAGTGGCTTAATCTGTTAATGGACATTCAGAAACATGACGCCTAAGTGGTCAATAAAAAACGCGGTTTATATGGTGGTCTTTTTACTTGATACAGTGCATGTTGGATGATTATATTTGCATTCACGTGCGGTTTTAAGTTATATATATGCACGTTATATACACGTTATATATATATATATATATATATATATATAGTCTTCATGCTATTGCTAAACTACAGATACTACTACAGGTTCACGTCTGTATATTAGACCCCATACGAACACATAACCATGTGGTGTAGTTTACAACAAGTAAGTTGTTGCAATATTAAATCCAGTTCGAATAACCATTAATTCCTGCAATGAATAATTTAATCAACTAGAAATTACGTAAAGAAGACATGGTTATATGGTTGACGTGCGTGGCATCGGTTTATACACGCTAGCTGTAATGAAAACTACGGCATTTCGTGATCCACTCTGGTTTAAGTTCAGGGCTTTAGATTGGTAATCTGTCAGCTACATTACCAACCCCGATGAAAGGAACATTCAAACACTGCATTAAATTGAGGAAAATGTATCGATAAAATATGCCCTGGAATATAACGATATATAACCTTTAAAAAACATTCATCGGAAGCCCGGCCATCATCAAGTCAACATGAATTAAGTGCCTAGAATTTAGGCTTAAATCTGTATTTTTGCAATACCAGAGTCTCGTGGTGAAAAAGCATTTATAAAAGGCTCCGGTGAAACCACACTGTCAGACAATAATACATCCATTGAGCCTACAATATTAGCCCTGATTGATATCGCTGCGGGTTTAATATACCATCTACAGGAGTAGTATTGCTTTCCACTTATAAATGCAGTAAGCAACGCCTATATGTAGGCTGTTCGCGAAAACGCTCGCGTCAGTGACATATCAATTCTGCCTAAGACGATAATGATCTGTATACGCATTTCTAGATAATCTGAGATCTACTCCTATCAAAACAAGGTAAATTAATGTAAAAATAGCTATGTTAATTTCTTGGGGCTTCGTGCTCTACCGATGTTGATTCTTTTATTTTTTGTTGAAATGTTCAAATTAATTTAGTTTACTTACTTGAATTTTGTCTTTTCTGTCCGAGTGGAAATGAGGCCAAAAAACGGCACTGAATACGTAATAAGCCAACTGCCGTGTTTGCTGTTGCTGCAATTATAATACGGCAGCGACCATTTCCCCGACTCCCTTGTGGTCAACACTGGGGCGGTGGTGGACTCATGTGGTAAAAATAAATAAGAGAAATTGTCTTGCTTCTGTGTCAAGAACCATCTCTCAGTGTTTTGAGGGTAGCTGTATGACGGCGTGCAATTTCTAACATGTGTTACAACTCTGGTATGGGTACTTGTGTTTTTATATGCATCATATTTACATCCTAAAATGCTTTTTTGGTCATCTGTATCAAACCATAGACTACAAGCATGTATAGAACTGTCTCCACTCACTACTGACTTTACCAATGAAATATAGAACTCTTTCTCAGCTTCCCATTCCGCTTGTATGGAACGGGGGTTTTGTAGAAGATCGTTCAGAATATTAGCAACTGTCAAAGCAGTTTGTGTTTGTGACTGAAACCCAGTATATGCTGATGTTGACGGTCGATATAAAAAACCATCAAGATTCGCGTTCAAGCAGTTACTATCGTCTGCTCTTTCATTTATGCTATCTATATATTCCAACAACGCCGTGGCTTGATCTAAATCATTGGGAAGCTCCGGTGAATTTGACACCATATTAGAAGCCAGAGCTGGGTTTTCTACAATTCCTCTTAGGTCTCTCGTGTTAAGGGTCCTTCCTGAATATCCTATGAAATGCGTTGACGAGGCTGCGATCACTGTGAGTGAATCGTGGATAACGCAAGTCAACCAAACCAAGTGAATATGGAAAACGAACAACATTTCCGTCGCAGCCCTCATAGTGACGCACAGAAAATGGCTAGTGCGACGAACTGATTACAGTGAAGGCCGAGCAAATATCGACACATTCTGCAGCCAGGCATTAGCTCTAGGTGCCGTTGCATATAAACCTCTAGTAGATACTGTACAACCTTTATGTAAAAACCCAGATGGTGCCGCCGCTTTACTCTCACTCAAGGTGAGGGAGAGCGGAAACACTAGTGCCCGCATGCCTTCCATAGAACCAACTCACGTATGCTTTAATAGTTCAATAAAATAATCGGTTGCCGATATTCCTCAGTCGTAATGACAGAACTAATATTATGGTAAGCTGATGCATTCGTTCTGCCTCCTTGCAATCATTCTCTAGCAGTCTCTTAGGCTCTGCGATACAGACGTGACCTTTGCCTATCGTCCTGAGATATTGGTCAAAATATCAGAAAAAAACTTCCGTTTTCGAGACAGTTGGCCTGCGATATCTGATGGTATTCTCTTAGTAAACGCCTTCGTTATTAAAATTGGGTCATTGCGCGCCGTCTCCTAAATAGTCGCCATACATAAAACGGTCACCAAATACGAATCTTCTAGGACTGACCAATCATTTCATCAAACACATATGAAAATGAAACTCGTCTTTTCGCTTGAAAATAATATGCGTTGATCATTCCCGTTGAAAGTGAATTATTACTTCAGATTATACCAGGTCACTGGAAGAACCAAACGTTGCCGTCTGATTCCGAGACGCTAGAAAATCAGGGTCCCTTCAAACGACATTCATCTGTCATCTTCTTCTGTCTGGATGCTGCTCTTTGCTCGTTTCTTCAGGTGAGTGATCATTCCCAACACAATCATTCCCACCTACGTGCAGTATATAACCCAGCGAAGGAAGGACGTTGGTCTGTCGATCGGTATATGTGCACGTGCGAATTAAAGCTCCCAGGTTCTCTTTTCAACCTCTTTTACCTCTTTAATCGGCAACACTTTACCGGTGCAAACCATACACGATGGTCTTTAGCCAATTAAACCGAGATGGAGTCCGTAGAGTAGTAAGGTGTGCAAACCTACCAAACACATGGAGCTGTCTGCCGGTTTGCGATCAATACGATCTACATAGTCTTATATTTGGCTGCCTGATGGACAGACTCGACGCCATCATCACTGCCAACCTTCACGGCGGCCGCTCTGAGAAATGTCGACTGCGGAATATACGAGTTCTACCCGAAAGTCTTGTGAAATCAGTCCGATTGGTTTCATACAAATAAATTGCCAGCTGATCTTTAATCTCATATGTTTCTGTATTACTACAGATGTATTCTGAACGCTCTCTAGGCTCTATTGCGGGCGCAAAAATGGCTAAATACGAAAATCAAAGTGCCTGCAGTTCAACTTCAAGGAAAGACGTTGCTTTCACATATCCATTTGAACAGAATATGATTAATTAACAAACTTAAATAACAGAAGAAAGTGTCAGAATCCCTTTGTTGATCGAGCTGTAATCATGCTGCTACTGTCGAGAGAATGAGCACGTGAAAGACTCGGGGACATATGTTAGTAATGACAGTTTATATATGGTGCCACTTGTCTAACACAATAAACTCTTCATCGTGAAGTGTTTTTCGCTAAATGAAATTCTCACACTCCAATAATTTCGCACAAAATTGTTAAAACATTTTTTATACGTTTTTATGCTTTATATGGTGCAATGTTGCATTCATCCAGTGAACAGGCAACTATAGTGAAACTTTTTGTAATATGGCTAGGAAACTTCTTCGTAGTTCAATATCTGGAGGTTTAATGCAGATTCGCAACGCTTTAAAATTATTCACATCAATGAAAGGAATAAATATTTTGGTAACCAGGCGCGTCATATCGAGACCCAAGCTTAACTTAATTAATTATACATCATCATGAACATGAAATATTCTGGTCCCCGCATCTGACGTTTACGGTTTCAGAACCTGCGGTTTCTAGCATCGTGTCATTCTTCATTATTTTTCGTCTATATATCTAAGCAACACATTTTTCGAAAAAATCAAAAAAACTTCTACACTTACTTATTATTATTTTGAAAGATATACAACGGTGTTTTGAGGATGGGGAAATATTGTGAAATGTCCAATTTGGACGTGACGTTACACAACTTGCACGTGACGTCACAACCACATAGCCAAATAGTGTCTTGCCAAATAGTGTCTAGGGACCATTCCCACAGGTATTTGGATCGATCTATCTCCCTGGGGAGTCTCACTAAATCGCTATCAACTTAACCAGCTTAAATGTCTGTCACGCCTAGTAAAGCTGTTAGGGGGTAATTATCTTTACCCCTAGGTGATTCGGTAGGCATGAGAGACATTTATCAAGCCCATTAAGTTGATAGCAATTTATTGAGACTCCCCAGGGAGTTAGACCGATCCAGATGGATCAATCTAGGCATGGGAACCCAGTCTTAAATGCCTATGCAATCACACGTGGATTTACTTATCACAATTTTATTTAAAAAGACAGGCTTTATAAGGATTATTGTCATAAATTCAATAGTTTACGTGTTAAACACTAAGACCACATTCAAAATAATATTAAAGTGACATTTGAAGTAAATCAACAATAACTGCATCTTAACGCGTATACAGATAACATCAACGGAAATATTTAATTGTATTCAACATTTTATAAACACTGTATTAATGGGCATGAACAATGCAACAGGTTTACTTGGAGGAATTTTTTTAAATATGTTGCCTCTGAAAAAAGGAAATATGATGTCCCCTTCATATCCTTGCTATCTTCAATTATTTATTCCTCTTTAACTTCCACTTTATCCAAAACTGTCTGTTTTGTTTCCATTTCTTCAGTCAACTTGTTTTTATTTATATAAAATGTCCACCTTTTAGTGTATTCTTTTGTATACTGTTCAAAATCTAACCTGTAAATTTCGAACCTGAAAAAAAAAATCCATTTGAGATATTTTAATATAAAGTATATATTATAACTAAATGTCTTAAATATAAAACACTAAACGACTGTTCTAAAAGTCTTCCTGGGGAAAAAACATTATTCTGGCAAATAATTTTTCTATCCATCAGAAAGAATAACTCTTGTTCTAAACAGAAGTTCACATGACAACACAAAGGAAAAAAGAATCTCTAGAATTTAACATTTAAAGACAAAAAGCAGACTAATAAAAATCCATTACTTTGTGTTTTCTTTCTCCCTGCTAGCAAAGGAAAACAAATGTCCTTTCCCTTTAGGACCAAGCACAGGAATCTTTATCTAAAATGAAAAATATTAATCTGTCCTTTAAATTTTGGTTTGGCTCCTCATTCCAACAATTACCTATATCATCTTGGTCATACTATATGACACCAACTTTAAGGAAGCTAGCTTACATTCCATCTCACCAACTTATTCCTTTATTTACAATATATGGCAACAAAACATGAAAGTCTTATCTCTCTTTAAAACAAAGTAGTACCAGTACTCTTATTATTAAAGAAATTGATTTTGATTGCACTGTCTTAGATCCTACAGTACAGTAGATACTGTTTAATGTATCATATGGTCACCAATGTGCAATCCTGTCACATTCAGTACTGTTTAAAAATTAATTGTCGAGTTCAGTGCCTTTTAAAAATTAAGTTTCCACATGAAAGTACTCAGTATTATATAGCCAGGTTTTGTCCCTGATATGACTTTGTAATATTCAAAACATATATCCTTACCACAACACTTAATTCATTCCCCACTACAGAGGCTGGGTCAAAAGGTGACAGGGGTTTCGCTGTGACAGGCTCTCCAAGGTAAGAAATAGCAGGTGTATAGCCCTTTAATATTTCTACTGCATCTTTGTAATAATTTTGGTCACTAAACATGGCTGGAAGACAAAGACACATAACAAAACGTAATGTCAGTAAAAAGCCAGGCATTTACAAATACCCCTCAGTATGAAACTGAAAGATAAAGGGTTAGATTGGATTTTAACTCCAACAAAACAAAATTTAGAAATAATGTTAACATTTTGCAATAGAATTCAATAGTAAAACCAAACTTATCCTACCTTACTTTCAAATGGGGGTGAATTTGTTACGTGTAAGTATCTGCTGAGAACCAGTACCAGTTCCAGCTTTGTCAATGAAGATCAGAACAAACTTGATTATCTTTATTTCTCCTAACAACATTTAATTTAACGTCACTAACCATAATGCCTCCTTGTCTTTCGAGTCCAAGCATAATAAGTGGACAGTGTACCACAGCTGAAGACAGTCAAAATAGCTACGATATACGTCTCTCTGCTGACATTATTTACAAATTTAATAACCTTACTAAGTCCATTTCTAAACATTGCCATGGGTTAAACATGTGGGACCTCGCTTGCAGTTTTTACTGCCAGTGCATGGTGAATTTAAAAGCGAGGCTGTAAAATGGAAAGGTTTGATAAAAACAACATTTTATATGATCTGCATATATTCTAAACATTTCATTTCCTGATATTTGTAAAACATAAAAAGAAAAATTGATAGTATTATCTTCCACAAAAAGAAAGAAAGAAAACGAAATTATTTCATTAAGCATTATCGTATATGCTTTTGTTCCGCTACTTGTGCATTTTAAGTCCTAATTTTACATTTCGCAGGTTTAAGAAATGTCTCTGTCTATAAAAGTATCTGTTTGACATATTTACACAACATTTTGTGTTTCTTAATAAGAAAATATATAAATTATGTCATATAAATGATTTTTGAATAATTAATTTTTTTCTCTGCACAACGAGATGTCAACATTGTTGCTTGGCAACGTGCAGCACGAAATCCGCCATCTTGTTTGACGGAGAAAATATTGCGAGTTGCTGAATCTGTTTTGTATTTATAATCATTAATTTCGTGCTATCATTAGCTAGAATATCGAATGACCACGTTAGTGGAGAGCTGATGTTTTGCACTCCTAAAAATGTCAGCAGTTAACGGAGTGAGCAAGGTAAGAACGCTAAAATAACTGCCATGTCGCATGTACTGGCACATTTGCAACTTGCAACTTATATTATAATAGTGGTTGACAGTGATTTGAGACGTGTTCGAAGACCTAAACAACGCCTGGGTGCAGCCTTATGAAGTATCCAATAGTTTTTCTTGCAATTTATATCGTTGGGATTGTGTACAAAATTTTTGCTTGTTACAGGTTACTTAAAGATGAGGTTGGTTCTCAACTCTCTCTCCCACCTCTCCCTTCTATCTCACACACATACGCACACACTCACGCACGCATGCACACGCACACACACACACACACACACACACACACATGTATTAAGTCTTCTAGTCTGGCCAAATATAATAAGGACATCCTGGCACTTTTGTAGTATCTCCCCCACACATACTTTATAGCTGTCTGATGTTCAACTTCAACGACTTTTCTGAATTAATTTGTGTGGTGACCTTGAGCAATGTCTTCATCTTACAGATGAATTAGTTTGGCAACTCCTTTTAACATGAAACTTTACACCTTTCAAATAGTATGAGAACAGAGGCCATTGCTGGGTTGAACATTTGTTATATAATCTCACTGGCCAAAGAATTTAAAGGTTATATATATATAATGCAAGTAAATTTCCAAATAATTCATAATAATGACAAGTGAATGACAGTAGACTAAATAGAACAACAGGAAAGAGCACAGGCATGCAGATGGGTAATCACATGACAAAATAGCATTGGCTTTGATAATACATGTAGTTTAGTATAATAATGTGACACATGGCATATTACTTTCATGTCTAGACTTCTCCAAGAAATGGGCCACAGAAAACCAAGGGCAAAGGAGCAGATGACCCAATCCGATTTCTTCCCACTCTGCCAAACAAAAGAACCAAGCCGTCATGGCAACAGAACCCTCCCTCATTTCTGCTGACAACCCAGGTAGAACATGAGGACCAAAAGCTTGGGATTGACTTAGTGTCAGAATTGACAGCAAGTAAGCAATGAAGATGTATTTATAAATCAAAGTATGCATTTGCATTCAACCCACATTGATCAAATATTGATGTTCAAGTTTTGATATATTTTAAGTACTTTTTTGTACTGCATTATGCTAGTCTGACTTATAATGTATATGACACATATATTGTGATATGATAGTTGTTTGCTCATGAACTGTCTTCTTTTTAACCATTTTAACTTATCCTTTTTACTAACAACAAAGGATGTCTGTGGTTTAGTCATTGGATTTTTGTATTTTTATAAAATGATAAATAATAATAAGAAGAGGAAAATTAAAATGATCATTATTTACAGCCAATGATATTATCACACTTATAACAGAGGATATTGATGAATATCTGGAGGACTTAATATTTGGTAACAAATGAAAGTGGATGCCTCAGTCCACAATGTGTTTTGATGTTGTGACACTGCATGGTTATATTTGGATATATTTAAAGAATTGCATAAATATGCAACCCTAGCACTCTATCATACCCTGAACTTAAATATTTTGTCCATTATGTTCTTATTTGTTGTCTGTACATGTATTTGAAACATACTACTTTTAATAAAATAGTTGCAAGATGTTAATCATAGCATCTCTACCCCACGTCAAGGCACTTGTTCTAAATTGACTCATTGTCTGGTAAGAAGTCACTTCTGCTTGTACTGAATGCATTTTTTTCATCCCATGGAATCACCTGTTCTCAAGTATGAATTACTTCATATGAGTTTTATTTATTCAAAAGCACATTTATGGCACATCTATATTCTTGGTATTTTGTAAAGTCATATATATGAATGATAAACCTGTAATATGAGGTCAAATTTTCCTTTTTTTCATAGAATTAAAAATTGCCATTCATTCTTGTCCCCATTTTCTCTATTTACTGCTGATGTGTAATCATAATAAAAGTTTTGTTATCAATCTTTTATTTTATAAAATAGTTCTACTATATATATATCTATCTTTGGTTTTATATTGGTTCTTTCAGATATTGTGTGTTAAAAGGTATTAACTACAGCATCCTATTTATGGATGTTATATCTGTAATGTATTACCATTGTTATGATTTATGCATAAAACGAGGTAGTAAAATTTATGCAGGGATCTTTATAATTCTCTGTAAATGGTAGTTTCTAATTCATTTCCTTTGAAAAAGGTTATTATTGGTGTAAGTATAGTGCCAAAATTAATAAAATAACCATATATTCAGGAGAACCTAAAAAAGGCAAACATGGTCGTAGCAAGACTTGGGAGAATGCAAATGGGCAAGCCAACGGCCATGCTGCAACCCCAAGAAAAGATAGGGAGCATTTCAGGAAAGCTTTGGTTGATATTATCATGTGAGTAGTTATAATTACGTTATTATTTTTTTTATGGGATTATTATGTTAGTAACCTTTTACATTTTTTATTCATAAAGTGACTGTGTAATGGGTTTATGTCTTCTTAAATATTTATGTCTTGATAAATATTTTGACATTTTAACATGTGAATAAGTGTGTTTTGACTTTATTTGTTATGTTCATTAAAATGTTGTTTCTTTAAAAAAAAAAAAAAACGTTATCAATGGCTTTGTACTTTCCATGACTTTTAAAGCTTTTGGGTTATCAATCTGTCCTAAACACAATTCTTTATAGTTTGATAACAAAGATTTCTGTATGTCAGGCAAGAGGACACTCCCCCTCAAAGCAGACCCATGTCCACAAATGGAGAGCTGCCACCATTAACAAGAACTGGGTCACCAACCAGTGCAGAGAAAGATATCCTGGTAAGATTACATTTAGAATGGGTTAGAAGTTATTTGTTAAAATGTTAAAAAGTTAAAGACTAACAGACAGCAATGTGGTATAGAGATAATGGTGAATTTATGGGAAATATGATTTTCACTGTGACACAGGTTAATAACAAAAACATTTATTTAAGTGTAAAAACAGCAGAATTTGTAATTGTTTTTTTGGTCTTGTAAAACTTTTCATTGTTTTATTTTAGGTTCAATTTACCATTCTGTTAAAATGATATTGTCTCACACTGATTCTTAAATAAGCTGACTTGTCTGTTTTTGTAATTTTAGAGATATTACTACTACATACACAATGGGATTGACACAGAACATGTTGCTCCCATGGAAGACAACTGGTTGGAAAATGTATTGAAATTGGTGCCTGGGGAACTTAAGGTAATTTTTGCTTGCACACGTGCTCTTTTGAAACCCTCTGTAAAAACAACAGCTCATTATTTTATAAAACTAACACACAAAACTTCATTTGCCCAAATGTTTTTGAAAAATCAACCATAATTAGTTGATGTGCATTTTAATGTACACTAACTATTGTGCCTATGTATAATAAACATTTACCACATCATATGTTTTGAAGTGTTGCAGAAACAAGGAATATTTACTCTAATGTAAATAGCTCTAAAGCTTCAAACTTGCTGTGGTCAACTGAAGTACTGAAAGGCGGATCAGGTTTGATAAATGGGCATGATTAAATTACATTTTTTGATATTTAACCTGTTTTGCGTCTTTTAATAATGTTAACTGCAGTTTGAATGGGAATTTTTTAAAATCTTCAGACTGGACACACTGAAACAATAGAAAATCTGTCTGATGAAATGAGAGAAGATTACCTTCTTAGTGTGAAGAAAGCAATTGGTAAGTTGCACAAAAATCTGCCAAATTAGACTACAATAAGTTGGATGTGAAAAATAATCTGGTATGAACACACATTCTTTATTTTTTTACTCATATTAAAACAACTTTATAATTTCTGTCACTTTTATCACTTCTAGTCTCTGAGGAATGATTTCATTTTCTTTCAAGCATGCCTGGATGATTAAAAAAACAGTTAATTCTCCATTAGTTTCTATATTTAATATGCAGTGAAAAGCAAGCACTAATTATTTTTTCCAGTTGACTTTGTGCTGAAGGATCCCAGAGAGAAGGAATCGGATGAGAAGGAGCACCTGCCAGGCCACAGGGAGGAGCTTCAGGTTGTTCCCAAGCCCTGGTACAAGTCTTACACCTGGGCCAGGGATATAGCAGTTGACCACCTCCATGTCACCAACCCCTGTATGATGCAGGTGCTGGATTTGTGGCATGCCACCTTTGGGTAAGGACTTGGATTTTATATTACACTGCGGGCACATGTCCTGTCCTGTATACGACTAGACAGCAAGGTTGAGAACAGCCTTGCTATTGCTTTTGTAACATATAGGTAATACATCTCTACCTGTTATAACTGCAGTTAGTGAAGAAATGTATTTAGATGGAATAACTGTATTGTCAGCCGGCCCTAGAATTTGGGTTATCAGGTTCATATTTTATAGTGTTAAATTACAGAGAAATCTGCCAAATAGGAAAGGTGGAAGACATTTTTGAGTGAGAACTTATTTATTGGTCATATTGCAGGCAACTGAGGCTGATTGACATAGAGGAATTCCACAACAGAACAGAGTCCATGGACCTGAAGACATTCCAGCAGCTGTGCATCAGACATGTAGACTCGGCCAAGGAAAAGCTGCTGAAAAAGTAAGCCTTGTTGTTGAATCAAATAGCAAACTTTTGACTCATGATTTTGTAAATAAATGTTTCAGAGGAAATTGTTTTATGTTTTCAAATATGGTCATTGAAAAATATGAAGTTAAATGAAAGAACCTTTAAAGCATATTTATCCAGTTGGCAGGTGGAGTTACAATATTCAAAATTGTTACTGGTGTTATTTTGGGATTCACTTATAATTAATGCATCATGTAACATCACATTGTAGGTGGTTTCCCGAAATCCAGAATATCTTTTACCAAGGCAACAAAAGGAAGCAGGTTCCTAGCAACCAGGACCAGGAGAGATTAGAGAAGTTCTTCAACTGTGCTGCCACCCTCATGACAGAACAACTGCAGGCACTGTGTCTGGTGTCCATGTCAGACTACACAGACTTGATATGCCAGCCTCCAGTATGTCTACTTATATGATTAGAAAGGCCTGTAGCCATTTTTTAGGGGAGAGTTGGGGGTTGAAAAAACTGTCCTATTATCTGAAAAACATTGCTCTGAAACCAGATTTGGCATTAATTCCATGCCTTTCTCAGTTTGGGTCAACTAAAGGGGTTAGAAAATGAAAGTGATCCCCTCCTTAAAAATGGCTACAGGTACATCAATGACATAGCATAAATTTAAAGATATCAATTGTATATCTTTAAGTGTTAAATATTTTTGTTTAAAACTGTTACAATTAGATAACATCAGCAAGCTGTCAAACTAATGAACATGTTATAATTTCAGCATTCCACCAGAGCCTATGAACATGCTGGCTTTGTGCTGAGACTGATCCTGGACAAGTCCGAGATAAAGTTTGAGCCATCTTTTGAAGATTTTGAGCTAGTGTTATTAAATGCGTATGAAGTGATGGACAGGGCTGTCAATGTGGTACCCAGAGTAGAGACTAAACTGTACTCTGAATGGGTGAGGAGTTATTTATGATTATACTAATAATAATAATAATAATAATAATAATAAGATTCTTATATGGCGCCTNTGTAAAGCCGTGAGCGAGATTCTGCGAGATTTAAGAAGGACTGCTTTCACCCCCACGCCATCTAGCGGCAGACCCTTAAAGCGGGTATTCCCCATTAACATTTACCACATCATATGTTTTGAAGTGTTGCAGAAACAAGGAACATTTACTCTAATGTAAATAGCTCTAAAGCTTCAAACTTGCTGTGGTCAACTGAAGTACTGAAAGGAGGATCAGGTTTGACAAATGGGCATGATTAAATTACATTTTTTGATATTTAACCTGTTTTGCGTCTTTTAATAATGTTAACTGCAGTTTGAATGGGAATATTTTTAAATCTTCAGACTGGACACACTGAAACAATAGAAAATCTGTCTGATGAAATGAGAGAAGATTACCTTCTTAGTGTGAAGAAAGCAATTGGTAAGTTGCACAAAAATCTGCCAAATTAGACTACAATAAGTTGGATGTGAAAAAAAATCTGGTATGAACACACATTCTTTATTTTTTTACTCATATTTAAACAACTTTATAATTTCTGTCACTTTTATCACTTCTAGTCTCTGAGGAATGATTTCATTTTCTTTCAAGCATGTCTGGACGATTAAAAAAAAAAACAATAATTCTCCATTAGTTTCTATATTTAATATGCAGTGAAAAGCAAGCACTAATTTTTTTTCCAGTTGACTTTGTGCTGAAGGATCCCAGAGAGAAGGAATCGGATGAGAAGGAGCACCTGCCAGGCCACAGGGAGGAGCTTCAGGTTGTTCCCAAGCCCTGGTACAAGTCTTACACCTGGGCCAGGGATATAGCAGTTGACCACCTCCATGTCACCAACCCCTGTATGATGCAGGTGCTGGATCTATGGCATGCCACCTTTGGGTAAGGACTTAGATTTTATATTACACTGCGGGCACATGTCCTGTCCTGTATACGACTAGACAGCAAGGTTGAGAACAGCCTTGCTAGTGCTTTTGTAACATATAGGTAATACATCTCTACCTGTTATAACTGCAGTTAGTGAAGAAATGTATTCAATGGAATAACTGTAATGTCAGCCGACCCTAGAATTTGGGTTATCAGTATCATATTTCATAGTGTTAAATTACAGAGAAATCTGCCAAATAGGAAAGGTGGAAGACATTTTTAGTGAGAACTTATTTATTGGTCATATTGCAGGCAACTGAGGCTGATTGACATAGAGGAATTCCACAACAGAACAGAGTCCATGGACCTGAAGACATTCCAGCAGCTGTGCATCAGACATGTAGACTCAGCCAAGGAAAAGCTGCTGAAAAAGTAAGCCTTGTTGTTGAATCAAATAGCAAACTTTTGACTGATGATTTTGTAAATAAATGTTTCAGAGGAAATTGTTTTATGTTTTCAAATATGGTCATTGAAAAATATGAAGTTAAATGAAAGAACCTTTAAAGCATATTTATCCAGTTGGCAGTTGGAGGTACAATATTCAAAATTGTTACTAGTGTTATTTTAGGATTCACTTATAATTAATGCATCATGTAACATCACATTGTAGGTGGTTTCCCGAAATCCAGAATATCTTTTACCAAGGCAACAAAAGGAAGCAGGTTCCTAGCAACCAGGACCAGGAGAGATTAGAGAAGTTCTTCAACTGTGCTGCCACCCTCATGACAGAACAACTGCAGGCACTGTGTCTGGTGTCCATGTCAGACTACACAGACTTGATATGCCAGCCTCCAGTATGTCTACTTATATGATTAGAAAGGCCTGTAGCCATTGGATTTTTTAGGGGGGAGTGGGGGGTTGAAAAAACTGTCCTATTATCTGAAAAACATTGCTGTGAAACCAGATTTGGCATTAGTTTCTCAGTTTGGGTCAACTAAAGGGGTAAGAAAATGAAAGTGATCCCCTCCTTAAAAATGGCTACAGGTACATCAATGACATAGCATAAATTTAAAGATATCAATTGTATATCTTTAAGTGTTAAATATTTTTGTTTAAAACTGTTACAATTAGATAACATCAGCAAGCTGTCAAACTAATGAACATGTTATATTTTCAGCATTCCACCAGAGCCTATGAACATGCTGGCTTTGTGCTGAGACTGATCCTGGACAAGTCCGAGATAAAGTTTGAGCCATCTTTTGAAGATTTTGAGCTAGTGTTATTAAATGCATATGAAGTGATGGACAGAGCTGTCAATGTGGTACCCAGAGTAGAGACTAAACTGTATTCTGAATGGGTGAGGAGTTATTTATGATTATACTAGTATCTTGCATTAGGCATTTTCAGTTAGGTTTCTGTACACACACACATTAAAGATTCTGAAAATGTTGCCTCAAGCTTTTGTCATATTTAAAGTGTGTTTTCATATATTTATTCCTTCGATCTCTGATTATCTATATATTATTTGTTTGTTTGTTTATATCTTCAGAGTGGCAGTACAAACAAACAGTTCCTGAAGCCAGTGATTCTCCCTGAGATCAGGGCCGCCCATGAGGACAAGGTGAAAGCTGAGATCAAGAAGGAAAGTGTCAAGCCAATCCACCATGCAAAGCACTATGACAAATACAGCTTCCTCATCTCTAACCAGGCAGAGGCAGATGTGGAGCAGTTCTTGAAGGAAGAGCACAGTTTTGATGAATACGTTGCAGAGGTCAAGAAGTACAAACAATTGCTGGATGACATCACTTACAACAACATAAAGGTAATAATGGCAGTTAATTTCTCCTGAGAAAAAGTCTTTCTTTTTTACACAAAAATGTCATTCAGTGGTTGTTGGTGCAGGGGTGTATTCAAATGGTGCAGAATGTTGAAGCACACAGTTTGTCTGACAAGTGCTAACATAGTATGGCATAATTTTCAGTTGACTTTACCAATTCCACTTACAGAAAATCCGCCTGGGGATGTTTGAAGTGCACTGTGATGAGTTAGTGAGAGCCTTGGCAAAAAGGGCAGACACATTTGCTAACAGACTGCTGGCCAAGATGCAGAAAGATCATCAGGATCAGAACAGGAAGTAAGCAACATGTTGTGGTCATATCATGATGTGCGAAGTGATTAAAAAAGCGTGAACAGCAATTTGCTTCAATAATTAAAGAGTAATTTATCAGGTCAATTTATAAATAAACTCACATTTTATATAAAAATTTTAATATCACACACTGACATACAGCCATGTTGATAGAGTCTGTGATTGTACTCTTCCTTGTATTACCCTATAAACATCTGGTTATGTATTTGCAGGCTTTGTGATGACTATGAGAAGATCTCGGAGAAGGCTCTGGCCACCCCTGCCAACACTGAGCAGCTGATAGAGCTGAACACCTATATCACCAATGTGGAGAAGAAGGAGATCTTTGAATTGGAGAAGAGACTGGTTAGCGCCAAGGACAGGCTGGCTTTCCTGGCAGACTTTGCTCAGTTTTCTCCTGCAGAGATTCGCCTGAATAGCAACACATTTATGTGGCATGGAAGAATGCCCCAAATCTTTGAGGAACATAAACTCATTGTAGATGACAAGACGTCACAGTTCCAGGAGAATCTTAAGGTTTGTACAATATGAACAAATGTAATAATGATAAATCTCTACAGTGAAACAAGTTTTGCATAAGAGCAGAAAATGTAAATAAGAACTGGAACTGATGATTGTTTGAGAAATTCATTACATTGCAAAAATAAAAAAAAAGAAAGGCAACACTAATATTTATTTGTAACACATATTTTTTTTAATGATATTACCAATATTGATGTTGATATTGAAATCATAATTCCTTGCAGTATCGCAGAGAGAGATTCCAGGAAGATTTGGACAGTTATGCAAAGCAAGTGGAAGAATTTTCATCATTTGGTGACCTGAATGAGATACAGAAGTATCTGAAGAAGGCCCAGGCACTAGATGCCAAGCTGCAGACTGCAGCTGAAAAGGTAGGAAACTGGAAACTTAAGGTTACTATTATCAGTGGAATATGTGCAGAGAAGGTTGTAGGATATTGCCAAGTGCAATTTATTGATTTGATTAACAAGGTTGCCACAGTCAGGCTTTTGCATTATTTTATTGTTAAATAATTTTGAAATATTAAAAAATTAGTATCTTACATAACATATGTATTTGAAAGAATTCCAAGCATTCTGAACATTGCCTTCAGATTGAGCAGTTCAATACTGAGGAAGAGGCATTTGGCTGGGAGACCAGTGCCTACCCACAGAGGATGCAAATCATCAACATACTGAAACCCTACCAGAATTTGTATGAACAGACAGTGGAGTTTGGACAGAAATATAAGTAAGTATAAAAGATACAATGCAGTCCTCTAATAAAAAAAAAAGGGATGCATTAAAAAATATCCATCAATGCAGTTGAAAGTCTATAATCATTTTATTGTATTTGCAAATGTCTTTTACTGATATTCTGGTGGAATTCATCTTTGTATTTTTGATAAACACTTGAAAAATTAAAAAAATGACTGATTTCTATATAACTTTTCTGAAGCCTACTTTGAATGAGACTAAAAACTCAGGAAAGTTTCTCAGATGTCAGACAATTTTAATCTTATGAGATCTTTTTACTGATAGTAAGATATTTCTAAATTTACTAATATTTTATGAAATAATAGTAATGATGTGTGGGCTGAATTGCTGTTCTCTCTGTTCCCCAGAGAATGGATGGATGGCCCTATGTCCAACGTAAACCCAGATCAGGTAGACCAAGAAGTTGGTAATTATTGGAGAAACCTGTACAAACTTGAGAAAGGTTTTGATGCTATACCAACAGCAAAGAAAATTGCCAATAAGGTAAGAGAAAATTTTAAAGTATCACATACTTATTTGATCACTATCAGATCTGTATTTTACAGGCACTGTACTAAAAGAACTTGAATTTAGCATGGATGAGTTAGTAGGTTCATGTATATCAATTTGATTGATTTTATTCTGATTATATAGTTGGATTAAATTACAACATTGGTATTTACTATAACCTCAGACCAAATCCAAGATTGAGGAGTTCCGTGACCACCTCCCTCTGGTCCAGACATTGTTTAACCCAGGCCTGAGAGACCGTCACTGGGAGTTGATAGCAGAAATCATCAACTACCCAGGGTTCAAGCCAGATGAGGACACCTGTCTGTCCAAGTTTGTGGACATGAACCTTGACCAGTACATCCCTAAGCTGGAGTCCATCAGTGAGTCTGCCAGCAAGGAATACTCGCTTGAGAAGGCAATGGAGAAGATGAAGATCGAGTGGAAAGATGTAAGTCTCACTGGCGATTATGTCTTCTTGATTCATGTGTGAAGTCACTTGTTTAATGTGAAAAAAAGTTTGGTTTAACTTTTGTTTCCTTTGGTTTAAAGTCACGAAATATAAGTTTGAGCAAGGATTTTCTTGAGGTTTAATTGATAACACAAAAATATTATTTTCATATTTTATAGAGAATATTCTCTTGCTGTATTTTGAACTGAAAATGTAGCAATTAAGCAATGAATGACAACAATGCCAGTGTACAGGACAGATCATCGCCTTCATCATTCTGTGTTGGTATATATTTGTAGATTGAGTTTGTGATGGTCCCATACAGAGAGACTGGAACTCACATCCTGTCCTCAGTGGACGACATTCAGCTGCTGCTGGACGACCACATTGTCAAGACACAGACTATGAGAGGATCTCCCTTCATCAAGCCTTTTGAAGTAGAAATGAAGTAAGTCACTCTGCTTTGTTCACAGATTAATTTTATAATGTTAGAAAAAAAAAGACAGAGGAGATATAAGATTGAAGCAAAATATTTTTCTTTATGCTAAGACATGACGCATGGGAATGAAATGATGCATATTTATGCAAAGAAATTTTGTGAAAATTATATTGAAGAGAAAAGATAATGCATACATAAAATTAATAAACACAGATAATTGAAATCTAAAGAAACAAAAAGACTGACGCTGCCCTGAATCATTTTCCAGGGAGTGGGAGGGCAAACTGGTCCTGCTACAGGATATCCTGGATGAGTGGCTGAAGGTGCAGGCCACCTGGCTATACCTAGAGCCTATCTTCAGCTCCCCAGATATCATGGCTCAGATGCCAGAGGAAGGCAGGAAGTTCACAACAGTGGACAAGAACTGGAAGGACATCATGAAGGCCTCTGTGGTGGACAAACATGTCCTTGCAGTGACCAGTATAGATAAAATGTTGGAAAGACTCAAGAAGTCCAATGAGCTTCTAGAACAGATCCAGAAGGTAGGCTCATGTGGCTTTGTCTTGATTGCAATTTAGATTAAAAGCTTGATTTATTTTGTCAGGTTTATAGGCATTTAAGGGGAATAAGGTTATATACATTTTAGATCAGTTAAGTTATATGTACATACTTCATATTGTTTTAAATCCAGGGCTTGAATGACTACCTTGAGAAGAAGCGCCTCTACTTCCCACGTTTCTTCTTCCTGTCCAATGATGAGTTGCTTGAGATCTTGTCCGAGACCAAGGACCCGACCCGTGTCCAGCCTCATCTGAAGAAATGCTTTGAAGGGANATCTCCAAAACTGGCAGAGATAGGTCCATAGTTACTATTGAACTTGAATAGAAAGTCATATACTGGCAATCTAAATGTGACCTTGAAATTGACCTTTGACCTACTTTTCCCCATGAATTGAACTTTGCAAATTTTGCTTTCCTTTTATCTCCAAAACTGGCAGAGATAGGTCCGTAGTTACTATTGAACTTGAATAGGAAGTCATATACTGATAATCTAACTGTGGCCTTGAAATTGACCTTTGACCTACTTTTCATAATGAACTGCACTTTGCAAGTTTTTTGATCTTTATATATCCAAAACTGGCAAAGATACCTCCATAGTTACTATTGAACTTGAATAGGAAGTCTTATACTGGCAATTTAACTGTGACCTTGAAATTGACCTTTGACGTACTTTTCACCATGAACTGAACTTTGCAACATTTAGTCCCTTGTATCTCAAAAACTGGCAGAGATACCTCCATAGTTTTTATTGAACTTGAATAGGAAGTCATATACTGGCAATCTAACTGTGACCTTAAAATTGACCTTTGACCTACTTTTCACCAGGAACTGAACTTTGCAACTTTTTAATGCTTTTATTTTCAAAACTGGCAGAGATACGCCCATAGTTACTATTGAATTTGAATAGAAAGTCATACGAGGCAATTTACTGTGACCTTAAAATTGACCTTTGACCTACTTTTAACCATGAACTGAACTTTGCAAATTTTGGTTCCCTTTTATCTCCAAAACTGGCAGAGATAAGTCTATGGTTACTATTGAACTTGAATGGGAAGTCATATACTGGCAATCACAATGTGACCTTGAAATTGACTTTTGACCTACTTTACACCATAAACTGAACTTTGCAACTTTTTAATGCTTTTATTTTCAAAACTGGCAGAGATACGCCCATAGTTACTATTGAATTTGAATAGAAAGTCATACGAGGCAATTTATTGTGACCTTAAAATTTTCCTTTGACCTACTTTTAACCATGAACTGAACTTTGCAAATTTTGTTACCTTTTATCTCCAAAACTAGGAAAGATAGGACCATAGTTACTATTGAACTTGAATAGGAAGTCATATACTGGCAATCTAAGTGTGACCTTGAAATTGACCTTTGACCTACTTTTCATCATGAATTGAAGTTTACAAATTTTGGTTCCCTTTTATCTCCAAAACTGGCAGAGATACGTCCATAGTTGCTATTGAACTTGAATAGGAAGTCATATACTGGAAATTTACTGTGACCTTGAAATTGACCTTTGACCTACCTTACTATGAACTGAACTTTGATTTTACCATTTTTTTTATATATATATATATATATTTTTTTTTTGCATATTTTGAGAATTCTTGTTGATTGCATTTTTTACAGCTTGTCAAGCACAAGACTGGTGGTGGTGTCCCTTTTTTGTGTGTGTGGGGGTCTATACGATCGCGCTTACCCCAGCTGGTGGTACAATATTCGGAGGCGGTATCGCCTCTCTGATCCTCTAGTTACCTCACATTAATGGACATATTTGAAAGAGTTCCAACCATTCTGAATATTGCCTTCAGATTGAGCAGTTCAACACTGAGGAAGAGGCATTTGGCTGGGAGACCAGTGCCTACCCACAGAGGATGCAAATCATCAACATACTGAAACCCTACCAGAATTTGTATGAACAGACAGTGGAGTTTGGACAGAAATATAAGTAAGTATAAAAGATACAATGCAGTCCTCTAATAAAAAAAAAGTGATTCATTAGAAAATATCCATCAATGCAGTTGAAAGTCTACAATCATTTTACTGTATTTGCAAATCTCTTTTACTGATATTCTGGTGGAATTCATCTTTGTATTTTTGATAAGCACTTGAAAAATTAAAAAAAATGACTGATTTCTATTTAAACTTTTTCTAAAGCCTACTTTGAATGAGACTAAAAACTCAGGAAATTTTCTCAGATGTCAGACAATTTTAATCTTATGAGACCTTTTTACTGATAATAAGATATTTCTAAATTTACTAAATATTTTATTAAATGATAGTAATGATGTGTGGGCTGACTTGCTGTTCTCTCTGTTCCCCAGGGAATGGATGGATGGCCCTATGTCCAACGTAAACCCAGATCAGGTAGACCAAGAAGTTGGTAATTATTGGAGAAACCTGTACAAACTTGAGAAAGGTTTTGATGCTATACCAACAGCAAAGAAAATTGCCAATAAGGTAAGAGAAAATTTTAAATTATCACATACTTATTTGGTCACTATTAGATCTGTATTTTACAGGCACTGTACTGAAATAACTTTAAATTAGCATGTATGAGTTAGTAGGTACATGTTTATCAATTTGATTGATTTTACTGATTATAAAGTTGGATAAAATTAAAACATTGGTATTTACTGTGACCTCAGACCAAATCCAAGATTGAGGAGTTCCGTGACCACCTGCCTCTGGTCCAGACATTGTTTAACCCAGGCCTGAGAGACCGTCACTGGGAGTTGATAGCAGAAATCATCAACTACCCAGGGTTCAAGCCAGATGAGGACACCTGTCTGTCCAAGTTTGTGGACATGAACCTTGACCAGTACATCCCTAAGTTGGAGTCCATCAGTGAGTCTGCCAGCAAGGAATACTCGCTTGAGAAGGCAATGGAGAAGATGAAGATCGAGTGGAAAGATGTAAGTCTCACTGGTGATTATGTCTTCTTGATTCATGTGTGAAGTCACTTGTTTTATGTGAAAAAAAGTTTGGTTAAACTTTTGTTTCCTTTGGTTTAAAGTCATGAAATATAAGTTTGAGCAAGGATTTTTTTTAGGTTTAATTGATAACACAAAAATATTATTTTCATATTTTATAGAGAATATTCTCTTGCTGTATTTTGAACTGTAAATGTGGCAATTAAGCATTGAATGACAGCAATGCAGATCATCGCCTACAGCATTCTGTGTTGGTATATATTTGTAGATTGAGTTTGTGATGGTCCCATACAGAGAGACTGGAACTCACATCCTGTCCTCAGTGGATGACATTCAGCTGCTGCTGGACGACCACATTGTCAAGACACAGACTATGAGAGGATCTCCCTTCATCAAGCCTTTTGAAGTAGAAATGAAGTAAGTCACTCTGCTTTGTTCACAGATGAATTTTATAATGTTAGAAAAAAAAAAAAAAAAAGACAGAGGAGATATAAGATTGAAGCAAAATATTTTTCTTTATGCTAAGACATGACACATGGGAATGAAATGATGCATATTTATGCAAAGAAATTTTGTGAAAATTATTTTGGAGAGAAAAGATAATGCATACATAAAATTAATAAACACAGATAATTGAAATCTAAAGAAACAAAAAGACTGACCCTGCCCTGAATCATTTCCCAGGGAGTGGGAGGGCAAACTGGTCCTGCTGCAGGATATCCTGGATGAGTGGCTGAAGGTGCAGGCCACCTGGCTATACCTGGAGCCTATCTTCAGCTCCCCAGACATCATGGCTCAGATGCCAGAGGAAGGCAGGAAGTTTACAACAGTGGACAAGAACTGGAAGGATATCATGAAGGCCTCTGTGGTGGACAAACATGTCCTTGCAGTGACCAGTATAGATAAAATGTTGGAAAGACTCAAGAAGTCCAATGAGCTTCTAGAACAGATCCAGAAGGTAGGTTCATGTCATTGTGGCTTTTTCTTGATTGCAATTTAGATTAAAAACTTGATTTATTTTATGTCAGGTTTATAGGCATTTAAGGGGAATAAGGTTATATACATTTTAGATCAGTTAAGTTATATGTACATACTACATATTGTTTTAAATCCAGGGCTTGAATGACTACCTTGAGAAGAAGCGCCTCTACTTCCCACGTTTCTTCTTCCTGTCCAATGATGAGTTGCTTGAGATCTTGTCCGAGACCAAGGACCCGACCCGTGTCCAGCCTCATCTGAAGAAATGCTTTGAAGGCATTGCCAAGCTGGAGTTCACGGACATTCTGGACATCACTCACATGAAGAGCAGTGAGGGAGAGGTGGTCCTTCTCAGAGATGTGATCTCTACCTCCAAGGCCAGAGGTCAGGTGGAGAAGTGGCTGCTGGAGCTGGAGGGCGACATGATTGTCTCTTTACATAAGGTAAGTGGAAGTTAGAAGATTTTTCTTGTTGGTTTTTATATTAGACTGTAAATGTCATAATATTTGACAGCCATACTATATGAATATCAGTCATTATGATTAAATCAGTTTTAATGCTTTGAGCAAATACTAGAAAATTGTTACTTTTCAGAACTCAATTAAATGACAGATTTTCCTTATGTGAGCTATGCTGTGTTGAATGTGTGATATAACTATGTATGTGTTTTATCCATCAGGTGATTGGTGAATCCCTGGAAGTGTATAACTCCACCCCTAGAGCTGAGTGGGTGTGTAAGTGGCCAGGACAGGCTGTTCTGTGTGTCACCACCAAATACTGGACAGATTTTGTCAGCCAGTAAGTTTTTAATACATATTATTTTCTGCACTTGTACTTAAGAACTGAGATGAAAGTGATTTCTTTGCATTATCTTCTGTTTGTTGTTTGATTTCATACATGAAGCATGTGAATGCCTTAAGTGGGTCAACAGAACTGTCATTCTTTGCTAGTGGTTACAAAATGTTGAATTTGACCGAAAATTTCAAACTTTCTCTGGGAAGCTGTAATTTTGCGATGTGATAGCTACACCATCACAGTTTATCATTTCATAAAAAGGGAAACAGCAGCTGCCCTTTTTAGGGCACACAGGAGAGTTGAACAGCTATACCCACCAAATCCAAGACGCGTTACCCTGGGTAATATATTTTGCACAAACTAATGAAAGTCTAATGGAATGTTTTCAGTTTTAGTTTAAATCATAAGGGGGTGTTGTCTCAATGCTTCAAAACTGGTTTTGAAGAATTTAATCCACATTTCATAATTAATAAAAATGGTGAATATGTGGGTCACGGTAACGTTATTGACGCGGGTACAAAAACTTTTTATAATCATGTAAATAATAACAATATTTTTGCTATTATCCATACACACTTCATTCATGAGGGGCACACCACTTTCACATGCTTTTAAAATGGAATTGACAAACACAGAGGAATAATGCACATATTTTATTTACTGTAACTCTGTCATATGGGACACACACTGAACAAAGTTGATCTAAAGAATGTTCCAGATTGTAGTTTTTTATCAGAACTATTATTTTTTTATTATTATTTTAACACAATAAAGTTCAGTTAAATACAAAATTTAACAAAATGAAGTTCAGTGTAACACAAAGTTCATAATTATAACATTCTTCCTGACATATGTAGACCAATGGTGATATCTGTTCTGTGCTCACTAAGGCATCCACTCTTGGGATTCTGAAAAAAAATCACACAAAGAATCTGTTAACTCTGATAACGAACAATGGATAACCTAAGATCACAAATAGTTTATTGCTTATTCAAACAAAGTACAGTGCATTATGAGTGGCAAACACGCATTACTGAGACACATTTTCTTCACCCATTTTCGGTGCTTCATTGCGTAACGTAAGTGTTGCTAGTAATCCATTATTGCTGTTTTTACAGACGGTTAAATTTTAAACGCACGGAATACAGTGTAGCAGCTTAATTTAAGACAAAACTAAAAAAANGGACCCGACCCGTGTCCAGCCTCATCTGAAGAAATGCTTTGAAGGCATTGCCAAGCTGGAGTTCACGGACATTCTGGACATCACTCACATGAAGAGCAGTGAGGGAGAGGTGGTCCTTCTCAGAGATGTGATCTCTACCTCCAAGGCCAGAGGTCAGGTGGAGAAGTGGCTGCTGGAGCTGGAGGGCGACATGATTGTCTCTTTACATAAGGTAAGTGGAAGTTAGAAGATTTTTCTTGTTGGTTTTTATATTAGACTGTAAATGTCATAATATTTGACAGCCATACTATATGAATATCAGTCATTATGATTAAATCAGTTTTAATGCTTTGAGCAAATACTAGAAAATTGTTACTTTTCAGAACTCAATTAAATGACAGATTTTCCTTATGTGAGCTATGCTGTGTTGAATGTGTGATATAACTATGTATGTGTTTTATCCATCAGGTGATTGGTGAATCCCTGGAAGTGTATAACTCCACCCCTAGAGCTGAGTGGGTGTGTAAGTGGCCAGGACAGGCTGTTCTGTGTGTCACCACCAAATACTGGACAGATTTTGTCAGCCAGTAAGTTTTTACTACATATTATTTTCTGCACTTGTACTTGTTCATGTGAATGCCTTAAGTGGGTCAACAGAAAGATAAAAAGAGTGGCTTAAAAACGAATTTTGACTGCAAATATCTTAATACATATTTTGTCTTAATCCAGATCCATCCGTGAAGGTGAGAAGGCAATGGATGCCTACCTGCAGCTGAACAACAGCCAGATTAATGAGATTGTGGCACTGGTGCGAGGCAAGCTGTCCAAACAGAACCGCACTACACTGCAGGCCCTGATTGTGTTAGATGTCCACGCCAGGGATGTGCTGCAGGAATTGTGCAAGTCCAAAATCAGCAGCGAATTTGACTTCTCTTGGCTGAGTCAGCTCAGATATTACTGGGAGGTAAAGAGTCAGCACAGTTATCTTTTGTGACAGTATTTTCTGAAAGTATTATATATATTTTTTCTTTTTGTGTTTTGTTAATGTATTGTAAAATTAGGTATGTTTGCAGATGTCTTCATGAATTTAATGTTGAACTTAAAATATGAGACACACTTAATATTCTTCATATCAGGAAGGACAGATGATTACCAGAATGATCAACTCCATGCTGCCATATGGTTATGAATACTTGGGCAACAGTGGCCGTCTCGTCATTACACCTCTCACTGACAGATGCTACAGGTAGGGACATATCTTTCACTCTTTCTACAGCTTTTAACTTTTTTAATGGCAGTAATACATATGTAACGGATAAACTTAAACAAGCTCATCACACCTTCTCATCTATCTTGTCTATATCTACTGGTCATTGTCATCACTATATCATGACTAAGGCTTCATGGCAGACGTAAGCATTTCTTTCAAATCCACATGCTCCAGAGAAATTATAGATGAAAAATTGGCACATTAACACTGGATGTATTAGATAGACAGGTTATTATTATTATTATGACAATGCTGGGTATTACAGTGGTTTTTACGTAGACATGCTTCTCTTTCAAAGGACCCTGTTTGGAGCCCTACACTTACACTTGGGAGGTGCCCCTGAGGGACCTGCTGGGACAGGCAAGACTGAGACCACCAAAGATCTGGCCAAAGCTGTGGCCAAACAGTGTGTGGTCTTCAACTGCTCTGATGGTCTGGATTATATTGCCCTTGGAAAGTTTTTCAAGGTAATGGTCATTTTACTTCTAATACTATGTTGTTTTTGCATTGACAATGTAAGCCTGGATATACCTTAGGTTTGTGCTGTTAGTTGGGTCTTGTGTCCAGGTGTTACCGCACAGAGAATGGCTAATGAGTCCTTATCTGGAGTGGCAGTCGCTAACACTAAGTTGTTACATGTTTAAGGAATAATCTTATTTTAAGGTCAGGGTTATTTGTAAAACTTCTTAAACCCGTTTGTTTTTATGTGGCTGGTTATACTATTATATATGTATTTTTAAGTCTGTTTTTGTGATAATTATATACCTTTTTTAAAGGGTTTGGCCTCTTGTGGAGCCTGGTCCTGCTTTGATGAATTCAACCGTATTGATCTTGAGGTGTTGTCTGTGGTAGCCCAACAAATTCTTACTATCCAGAGAGGTAGGTGTCTTAAAATACAAATATGTTTTTTTGGGAAAAAATGTATTAAATGTCACTTCACTGTATTTGATTGGTTGAAAATCGTTTTGACAACTTCTAAACGCAAGTTATATTTTTGTCAATTTTCCAAATTATTTCTATTTTGTATTTGATACAAATGCCTTACATTTTACCCCTGTCTTATCCAGCCATTAATGCGGGTGCAGACACCCTGTTGTTTGAGGGGACTGAGCTGAGGTTGGATCCCACATGTGCTGTCTTTATCACCATGAACCCAGGTTATGCAGGGCGCTCAGAGCTGCCTGACAACTTAAAGGTACTGTACACATAGTCACATTTGTCTGGTGATGAGCAGTAAACTAAGGCCTTGTTTGGTTGAGATATTCGAAATATAGAATTTGCTGGTCTTGATTTCATATGATATTTAATAGATTCAGACTGTGAATAATAATGATATATAAGTTATTACTGAAAGTTGGATGGAACATTTGTAATACATAAATGTTTTAAAGAACTGTGTTGAAGCTGAAATTTATGAATGCAGTTGATAAAATCATAAAATTAGTTAAAAGCTAGTGTCCAAGGAATAGAAGTCTTTTTGGATCTCACTCTTACAGGTATAACAAAAACTCCCAATTTGATCAAAACTATTCCATAATAAGTTGATACAGGTGATATACATCATTAGTGCTTTCTTGTTGCAGGCTCTCTTCAGAACAGTGGCTATGATGGTCCCAGATTATGCCCTGATCTCTGAGATCTCCCTCTACTCCTGTGGCTTTGTCAGTGCCAGGCCACTGTCTGTGAAGATTGTGGCCACATACCGTCTGTGCTCAGAGCAGCTGTCTTCACAGAGTCATTATGATTATGGTATGAGGGCTGTCAAGTCTGTACTCACAGCTGCTGGTAACCTCAAGGTATTGATACCTTTATTTAAGTTTGAAAAAAAGGAATTTTTTATCAATGACAACACATGGGCCTTGAAAAGAAATAATAGATTAATATATATAAAATGTGTGTGTTTAAGATTTACATAATTGTGAACTGTGTGTTAAAGTTATGTTTATTCATTGTTTATTATTTGTTAATTTTCACTGTGAATTGTTTCAATTACTAGTTGAAATACCCGGAAGAGAATGAAGACATTTTGATGTTACGTTCCATCATTGATGTGAACCTGCCCAAGTTCTTGAGCCACGACTTGCCCCTGTTCCATGGTATCACCTCGGATCTGTTCCCTGGCATCAAGCTACCAGAGCCTGACTACGTGGCCCTGAATGAGGCAGTCAGGCAAAACTGCGATAAGATGAACCTCCAGTGCACTCCGTTCTTCCTGGAGAAGATGCAGCAGATTTATGAGATGATGATAGTGCGTCACGGCTACATGATTGTTGGTGAACCCTTTGGTGGCAAGACTTCTGCCTACAGAGTGCTGGCAGGAGCACTGGGAGATCTGCATGAGAAGGTAGGAATTGGAGAGGTTATTACCCATTTATCTTATGAACAAAACCTTGTTAATTCACATACATTTGAAGTCTGTTATAGTTCATCTAAAAATTTAAGTTTTGCATTACTAAGACTTTACAGGAATATTGTTTTGAACATCATGTCAATTATTTTCTGATTTGTAGGGTCTAATGGAAGAAAACAAAGTACAAATCTTTGTCCTGAACCCCAAGTCCATCACCATGGGTCAGTTGTATGGTCAGTTTGACCCTGTGTCCCATGAGTGGTCAGATGGTGTGCTGGCTGTGTCTTACAGAAACTTTGCACAGTCTACAGTAAATATTATTTTATTTCTGCTAAGATTTCTAGCACATGTGAAATCTGGTCATTCAGATATAATGGTTATGTATCGATTGGCATCAGTCCAGCCATTAGTAGTTTTTTTTTTCTTTAATTGTAAGAAAACTTAATTTGAAAGAATTTAATATTACATTATGTGCATTATCTTTATCATATCTTTACTGTAGAAACTTGAAATATAGAAAGCGCAATAATCTGTATAAAGTAGTATTGTGTAAGAAACAATAAGCAGTGTTTCTGTGGCCTCACCATGGTGTTGTATATCTACAGACCCCAGACAGGAAATGGCTCATCTTTGATGGCCCAGTGGATGCCATCTGGATTGAGAACATGAACACCGTGCTGGATGACAACAAGAAGTTGTGTCTGATGAGTGGTGAGATTATACAGCTGGCCAGCACTACCAACCTTATGTTTGAGCCTATGGACTTGGAGGCTGCATCCCCTGCTACTGTGAGTAGCAAACAACATAAAATCCATTACTACATGAATAAAGTGATATGTCAGAGCTTTTCTCTTTGCTGGTTATATTGGTCACTTTCTTGACTGACAACTGACAGCTTGAAGTAATTGTCAACACCTGAGTTAGAGTTGTGGGTCATTCAAAGCAGTCGGATAATTTATAACGTTAACACTTGAAAATTTTTTATATACAACTGGACTTGGGGACATTTTGCAAGACTGAATAGATTTAAAAAGGCCATTGGACCAACTGTTGTGATCAATAGGTCAGACAATTTCAGCATGACAGAACATTTTTACCTCAAAGACCCATTGTTGCTATTTTTCCAGGTGTCCCGCTGTGGTATGATCTACATGGAGCCGTCCTCTCTTGGTTGGCGGCCAGTGGTCAAGTCCTGGCTGAATGTGCTACCATCAACTCTGAATGAACTACACAAGCAAGCCATTAATGAGCTGTTTGAGAGGTTTTGCGATGCCTGCCTGGCTTGTGTCAGAAAGCAGATGAAGGTATAATAAGGAAAATATATTTTATTGTTTCAATTATGAAGGAAATAATAACCGGTTGAAGTGATGAAGTTATTTTTTTCTTTGAAAATTTAGCATCAACCCAACAATCATTACTTAATAAGTTAAATGCTTATTTTCCATGCATTCACAGTGGTAGGTTAATTGATTAAAGGTTTTGCATTAAGAAGATTTTTTTTGTAAAATAAAATGTTCTGTGATTTTATGTAACCAATTCCTTCAAAAAGAAAGAAAATTAAAAAGTCTGACATTGTTGATGAATTGTCTTATTGTTATTCCCAGGAACTCTCTCCAACTTCTGATACCAACCTGGTCAAGTCTTTGATGAACCTGATGGACTGCCAGATGGATGAGTTCCAGGATGAAGCCAAGTTCAGTCAGCTGGATGAGAGACAGGTCTTTGGCTGGATAGAGGTATTGATAGATTTTCATTGGCAATAAATTCTGGGGTGTCACCAATCTGCAAAGCCTGCAATTTGATGTAGGAGAAGAAAGTTTTTTTTCTAAACAATGCAACTCGATGTCATTCATTCTTTATCAAAATGTTATCAGAACAAAGCTACTCCGACAAAGCCCAAGTCTTACAGCTGTGACTTATGTTATTCTTTATGCAACTGGCCTTTGTTCTCTTCCAGGGAATGTTCATCTTTGCACTGACCTGGTCTTTAGGTGCCAGCAGTGATGACAAGAGCAGGTACTCCATGGATGCATTGGTGAAAGAACTACTGCAGGTACTTACTATTATCATTGTTGTTGTTGTTGTTGTTACTATTATTATTATTATTATTATTTCTCTAGAGGAATGTAATCAAACATCATTTGAATCGAATGTGCTGCAGTAAATAAGGTTGCTAGTAACTTTTACATTGAGACTTATTTAACATGAAAACAGACCCGCAGTTATGATAGTATTTTGCATCTCATTTCAGGGTGGCATGCAAGAAGAAACGCGTGCTAAGTTGAGCCTGATAAATTTAGTGGATCCACCAATGAAGCCTTACATGGTAGACTTTCCAAAGGAAGGGACCATTTATGACTACAAATTCCTCAAAGAGGTATGATATAATTTTCTCTGTTTTTCAAAAATTGTTTGTCAATCCCCAATTTAAATACCACTGGTAAAATCAATCCTACAAGGTGTTACAAAATCATATTCGTATGTTCATCATATTTTTGTACAAATAATACCTATTAGCTAATTCTGGGTTTGTATTACAGGGTAACGGCAAATGGCAGAAATGGGACCTGGATATCAAGGATGCTCCCCCTATCCCCAAGGATGCCCTGTTCAATGAGATCATTGTCCCCACTGTGGACACCGTCCGCTATACCCACCTGATGATGACACTGGTCACACATCAGAAGACTTGCCTCTTTGTGGGACCCACTGGGACAGGAAAAAGTTGTTATATCATTGTGAGTTAGCATTCATTCATTTCACATGCACCCTCCATTTCTAAAGAAATTATTTATTTATTTTTCATTGTTTATTGAAATGATATTTGATCAAATATGTATTAGGTTATGCTGGTCAAGTTAAGACAGATTGTTTGTACTGAAGGATTATCAGCTTCAATACAGCATTAGGTCAAGTTATTGACCACCCTTTGGTTGCATCTACTTGGTAGCGAAATAGCTTTTATTTTAATCCTTTGTAGGACTTCCTGCTGAACAAACTAGACAAAGATGTGTACAAACCTAACATAGTGAACTTCTCAGCCCAGACCACCTGCAACCAAACCCAGAACATCATCATGTCCAAGCTGGACAAGAGGAGGAAGGGAGTGTTTGGTCCACCCCTGGGAAAGAAGGCTGTAAGTAAAACAATACATACATCACATAGTGTAGCAATGATCTAAATCCAGTCAACAATTACATTATTTCTATGTATTAGATAAAATGCCTCATAGTATGCTTCTATATAACATTTTGATATCCTGTGGCTTACTTTTCAGATTGTATTTGTTGATGACCTGAACATGCCAATGAGAGAGACGTACCTTGCCCAGCCTCCCATAGAGTTACTGAGGCAGTGGATGGACCACTGGAACTGGTATGACCTCAAGGACACCACCATGATCAAACTGATAGATATCCAGCTGATGGCAGCCATGGGACCACCAGGTACAGTGAACAGCAGAATTAACGACTGAGTTCTGAAAACAATTACACGTTTAATTTCTCTTTTATTTATGTTTTTTAACATTAAATTGATTAGTAATAGTGTATATTTGTTGTGCTGATATTTGATAAGAGTGCGATTTTCATCAGAAGTTGGTATGCTTCTCCTCATAGGTGGTGGTCGCAACCCGGTGACTCCCAGAATGCTGCGCCATTTCAACACTATCACCATGAATGAGTTTGACAATGAATCTATGAGTACAATATTCAGGAGAATCATGGACTGGCACATTACTTCAAAGTGAGTAGTTTATTGAAATAGAAATTAAAATTAAATAGGGGTATTTGATCAAAAACAAACAAACAAACAAAAAAAAACTTTCTTTTCAACTCTTATAAATAATCTGAAGTTTTCCACTTGACCTTATTTCATCCCCTGTTATGTAATTGGAATTAGTTCACTGTGATGACTGCTCTCGCTTTCCAGGGGTTTCTCCAAGCAGTTCAATGCCTGTGTAGACATGGTGGTCAGTGGTACTATGGATGTCTATAAGAAATCTCTGGAGATGTTGCTACCCACCCCAGCCAAGTCCCACTACCTGTTTAACCTGCGTGACTTCAGCAGAGTGGTCCAGGGCGTCCTGCTGTCCATACCTGACACCACAGAGGAACCCGCCTCCATGAAGAGGCTCTGGGTTCATGAGGTGGGTACTTATTGGATTACTGTTAAATAGATTTTCTTTTTTTTTTTTTGCTACCTTTGTGCTAGTCAAATGGAGTTCTCTACATTATATATTATTTATTTTTTAGTGAAATTATTGAAAATAGATTTTTGTCCATACATTTGACACAAAGTTCTTCTGTCCAACCAGGTGTTCCGAGTGTTCTATGACAGGTTGGTGGATGATGCAGACAGGAGCTGGCTCTATGGGTATGTTAGAGAAGTCGTGAAGACCAGACTGAGTGAAGATTTTGATCAACTTTTCATCCATTTGGATTCTGATGGAGATAATAAGGTATGGATATAACGGAATCAGATTTTTTGTGAAGAAAAAAATCAGAATTTTAGCAGATAATTTTCATTATTTAGAATGAGATTAAATTTTTTGTCTTTACTCAAAGTAATTTAACAGAATTTTTCTTGTCAGATATATATATATATATATATATATATATATATATATTGTTATTATTATTATTATTATTATTATTATTATTATTATTATTATTATTATTATTATTATGTATTTTCCAACAATAGAAATAGTTATTCATACTTTCCTTACTTTACTTCCAGGTAACTGAGGATGACTTGCGTAGCTTGTTGTTCTGTGACTTTGCTGATCCAAAGTCAGATGCTAAGAACTACATTGAGATCCGTGACCTGAACTCTCTGACCACTGTTGTGGAGGGCTACCTGGATGAGTTCAATAATATGAGCAAGAAACCTATGAACCTTGTCATGTTTAGGTAATTGTCTGCTTTCTATCATTATTTTTATTGTTATTGTTATTCTTATTGAACATAATATAGCTACACATTTTCACAAATATAACATTCCTATATTCTGCAAAAAAAAAATACATTTTAGTCATCAGTTTTCAAATTTAAGTATGATTAATCTTTACATTATTTTTGGATATGTTTTGGTGCATGTATGTTAAGTTTTAAGTTTTGAATGTCTTAAATCAAGAACTACTGGTATCTTATAACTTTCATTGCTCATGTATGACCTCCCTGTAACTTTCAGATTTGCCATTGAGCATGTGTCACGTATCTCCCGAATCATCAAGCTGCCCAGAAGTCACGCTTTGTTGGTGGGAGTTGGAGGATCTGGACGTCAGTCTCTTACCAGGCTGGCTGCACATATGTCAGACTATGATCTGCATCAGGTAATTAATGAGCACATAGTCTACAGCTGGGAAATAGTTATAGATGGGACAGAATAAAATGTTCCAGGAGACCGGCTTTGATTATACATTTAGTTGATATTTATCAATAAATATTGATGAATTGCATTTTAAAATGGCAAGGTGGCTTAAAATGAAACATGAGTTATGAAAATCAGAACAGATATGTTGAAAACAAATAGCCATGAAATGTGTTGCCCTTTCCAGGTTGAGATCAGCAAAAGTTACACCAGTGTAGAATGGCGTGAAGATCTCAAACTTATCCTGCGTAAGTCTACAGAGACTGATCAGCATGCTGTGTTCCTGTTCTCAGACACACAGGTGAGCAGGGGATTTGATGCTGAAAATTGGGAAAAATGAAAATCCTTTTAAAAAGTTACAATATAATAATAATAATAAAATAAAATAAAATAATAATAATAAAATTATGAAACAATGATAATGAAAACATCTGTGAAATTTTCTTCTGTTCATTTGGTAAGGACCTTTGGTGACTTTCAAATATAATGTTTCTTTATAGATCAAACAAGAATCCTTCCTGGAGGATATCAACAACTTATTAAACTCTGGTGAAGTTCCTAACCTTTACCCTGCTGATGAGAAGGCTGAAGTCTGTGAGAAAATGAGGCAAATTGACAGGTAAAACTCCAGAAGTAGAAATAATGTTCTAGTAATTCCAATGGGAGCTGTACTAGTACTACAGACACTTGAGAAATAGTATATATAACTTTCCAGTCTGGTGCTTAGATATGTTGTACATCAACAGCCTAATGCTTGTATAATTTAATGTGGTTTTCGTATTGCAGACAACGGGACAAGAGCAAACAAACAGATGGCTCCCCTGTCAGCTTGTTTAACATGTTTGTGGGGAGATGTAGAGATCAGCTTCATATTGTACTGGCCATGAGTCCTATTGGTGATGCATTCAGGAACAGACTGAGGAAGTTCCCCTCTTTGGTCAACTGCTGTACTATAGATTGGTTCCAGGTGTGTAGAACAGAGTGCAGGAGGTGTGACAGTGTGTTAGGTGTGGCATTGTGATAGGTGTTACAGTTTTCTAGGTGTGGTAGTATTCTAGGTTTGACCGTTAGTTATTCAAGCATTTCTGAAAAACAAAAATTACACATTTTGGTACTAAATTTTATAGCTTATCACTGTGTTTGTCTTCCCCAGTCCTGGCCAGAGGATGCCCTGCAGGCTGTAGCCACACGCTTCCTTGATGACATAGAGATGGAGGACAACATCCGATTTGGCTGTATTTCTATGTGTAAGGATTTCCACACCACCACCAGAGAGCTCTCAGAGAGGTTCCTGAATGAACTGGAGAGACACAACTACGTGACGCCCACATCCTACCTGGAGCTCATCAACACTTTCAAAGAACTGCTCAACAAGAAGAGAGAGTGAGTGTTGTGTTCCATGTTTATGTGCCATTCTTTACAATGTTGTGTTCCATGCTTATGTGCCATTATTTACCAGCATAATATCATTACTGTTGTTCTGTATTATGATGATTATGATATGCCAAAGCAGCATTTGATATATTTCATTCATTCCATACAGTCAAGTGACAATGATTGTGAAAAAAAATGAAATATGTTCACTGCTTTGATGTATGAATGCCCTTTCTCCTAGCGAGGTGATGAAAGCCAAGAGGAGATACGAGGTGGGTCTGGAAAAGCTCCAGTCTGCAGCCTCCCAGGTGGCCGTAATGCAGCAGGAGCTGACTGACCTGCAGCCACAGCTGGTGGTGGCCAGTAAGGAGGTGGAACAGATCATGATCAAAGTGGAGTCCGAGTCAGTGGAGGTGGCCAAAGTTGAGAAGGTGAGAGCATGGTCTAGTGCTTCTTTTTTTACTGTTTAATGCACTGAACTGGGATATTCCACATGTTGATATTTTGACTTACATATAGTGAGAGGGATGGCTTGAAATTGTAGATTGACAGTACTGTATTGTGTCATACATTATTATCATGTTTTGCCTCAAATGAAATTCTGCACATGACATTTTATTTATTCCAGGTTGTGAAAGCTGATGAAGCTGTTGCCAATGAGCAGGCTTCGGCTGCTAAAGCTATCTCAGATGAATGTGAAGCTGACTTGTCGGAGGCCATTCCAATCCTGAACAGTGCACTGGCAGCTTTAGACACCCTCACACCACAGGTATACAGGACTTGAGAAGTTGTTTAAAGAATAAAGTTGGTAGATTTACAAAACAAGATGAGATATTACATGTGGTGCTCATCTTTTATTTGTTAAAAAAATCTGGTCAGAAAAAAAGGGTAGAATTTTCAAGCAAGTAATATTCCTGTGCCGATAACTGTACTGCATCTTTTGCCTGGATTAACAATCTATTCAATTTACTTAATTTATTTAATTTAATGCAGGACATCACCCTGGTGAAATCTATGAAGAGCCCTCCATATGGTGTCAAGCTTGTTATGGAGTCTATCTGTGTACTAAAAGGAATTAAACCAGAACGTATACCAGACCCCTCAGGGTCAGGCAAGAAGATAGAGGATTACTGGGGACCGTCTAAGAAACTGTTGGGTGACATGAAGTTCCTGGAATCCCTGCATTCTTATGACAAGGTAAATTTGCTTTGGAAATTGTTTAACTTGTGTTTTATGAGCAAGCAAAATTACATCACAATTGACACATTAATGAGAGCAATTATTTATTTTTTTGTTTGCTTATTTGTTTATATTTTGAGATATATTTACAAATTGTATACCTGCTATTACTTAACTATTTCTCAAAAGCAAAAGGTTGATATTTTTTGCATGTTTTCCTCTGTCTTCCAGGACAACATACCCCCAGCAGTGATCAAGATAATCAGGGAGAAGTATGTCACCAATCCTGACTTTGTCCCTGAGAAGATCAAGACTGCCTCCACTGCAGCTGAGGGCCTCTGCAAGTGGGTTAGAGCTATGGAATCCTATGACAAGTAAGTTTGTTTTTTTTACAACACTCAGCTATTCAAAGCCTTGATGAGAAGTTTATTCTTTGATGCTCTGTTGCATTTGAATATTAGGAAATAATTATGTTGAAATAGTTTTCATAAAAGTTCTGGTTTCCTCTGATTTCCCAATCAAAAGAAGTGTTTTTTTATAATTTAATATCTTTCTCTCCAGGGTGGCTAAGGTGGTGGCACCCAAGAAAGAAGCCCTAAAGAAGGCTAATGCTGAACTAGCAGTTGCCATGGCTGCACTGGAGAAAAAGAGGGCAGCACTGAAAGAAGTCCAGGACAAGCTGGCTAGACTGACAGAGCAGTTAGAGCACAACAAACAGAAGAAGGTGGACTTGGAGAACCAGGTGGATCTCTGTGAGAAGAAACTGGAGAGGGCAGAGCAGTTGATTGGAGGTCTAGGTGGTGAGAAGGACAGATGGAGCCAGTCTGCTGAAGAACTTGGCATTAAGTATATCAACCTGACTGGAGATGTACTGGTCTCTTCTGGCTTGGTGGCCTATCTGGGAGCTTTCACTTCATCATTCAGACAGGTAGGTTACCTGGAATGTAGGATGGCAAATGAAGGGTGTGTCCTTGAATTTAGTTTCAAATAGAGGATGGCAATGATGTGTGTGTGTGTGTGTTCATGTACATGTGTTCTTGTGTGTGTGTTTGTGTGTGTGTACTTACATGTGTATCTTTATATAAATATGAATTTGTGTATGAATCCTTGTACGGTACATGACCACTAAAATTCCACATGGATCAAGCTTAAATATATTAATTAAGTGGAATAAAGGGAGCGCATTTAAATATCAAGGTGTGCACTGAGTACACATTTGTGGTGTTTTTCCTAGGAACAAGCCAAGACGTGGCAGAATAGTGTGGTCAGTAAGAATATTCCATGTTCCCCAGTGTTCTCCCTGGTCACTACCCTGGGAGACCCAGTGGCCATCAGGTCGTGGAACATCTGTGGTCTGCCCACTGACAACTTCTCTGTGGAAAATGGTATCATTATCAGGTACATTATACAGGATTGAATTTTCATGTGAATGGGAAAAAAAGTGTAGTAAATAACTCACTGTACGTTGTTGACATAAAGTCAGTTTTTAATAGCTGTAATTCTTTATGTTTTTCAGCCCTTTTTTATTATTTTACCTTAAAGCTGATATTATTATACCTTAAACTTTCGGCTTTTGAGGCTATTTGGTGCTTCTCATAGGTGTGGCAGCAGTTTTATGCCTGAACAAAAGATCATTGTAAAGTTGTTTTTGAGAAGTCAGTAACTGATCATTTATTTTTTCAGTAATGCTCGTCGTTGGCCCCTCATGATAGATCCCCAGGGCCAGGCCAATAAGTGGATCAAGAACATGGAGAAAGCAAACCAGTTGGCTGTTATCAAACTCAGTGATAGTGACTTTGTCAGGTCCCTGGAGAATGCTATACAGTTTGGAACTCCAGTAAGTGTATGAATTGACATCAGAATAGATCATTTAAGTAAGGCTTTTAAATAAACAGTGGTCTATGCAAATAAACATATATGTCATGGTATGGTCTATCGGGTCAGGTAAGTTAAGTCAATTAACACTTGTTAATTAAGAAGTGAGATGTTTGCAGATATGTCATTAAGATTAACCATTTTCCAGGACACTGATATATCTTTCATG